CATGCACGTGCACGCACGTGCGTGCATTGGGAACAGGTGAAATTAAAAATACACTTAAATGAGTGTTTTTTTTTTTTTTTTATACTTTTGGACTGAATGCTTTAATATATAGTATATCGATATATATATATATATATATAGTGTAGACAAGATGATATGGTCATAACGCACATGCATTTACATGCGATGCTAAAATTTGAATATAATTGATATCCTTGTGGGAAAACGTTGTTAAAGTCTAAAATGCATAGATTGTCTTTTTTAATGAAGCTTACAGGGAATATGGCACCAAAAGGGAGTTGGGGAGCGTTTGGGGAACATCTGTAACGGTTCCCGTTACAATTAGCACTAGTTATTATTATTTTTTTTCTTATTTCTTCTCCGGTACTTTTTTTGTCCGCGAGTGTTCTCAGAAACTGTTCACCCAACTGACCTAAAACCTTTTTAGGGTTAATAGGTGTGTAGTGTAGGTGTGCGGAACGAAGGTCATTTTGCGCGCATACGCATGCACGTGCGTGCGCGTGAAATGAGTGAATTGACTAATATACTTAATATAGCTATTACTTTTACATTTTTCGATGAAATGATTTGAAACTCATCATATAAAGATATATTAATACTGTAGATAATGTGACACTGTCAAATTAGCACGAACTCACGCGCATGCACGTGCGCTTCGCTCTGATTGGCTGAAACAAAAAGCTCAATATCTTTGCTGTTTTTTGACGAAATGCTATGAAATTTAAAACATAGGCATACTTTAGGATGTACTACAATATGATATATAACAATTGTCATGTAAACACGCGCATGCACGTGCACTGCAATCTGATTGGCTTAAACTTTAAATGGCTATAACTCCTTTGTTTTTCAACCAAACAGTATGGGATTTAGAACATGGACAGACATAATGGACTCCTACAAGGTGGAGTAATTGTCATACACATGCATGCACGTGCGTGCACGTGCGCTTTGCTGTGATTGGCTGAAATAAAAATCGCAATATCTTTTTTCAATTTTTGACGAAATGCTTTGAAATTTTAAACATAGTCATGCATTAGGATGTCCTACAAAATGATATATAACAGTTGTCCTGAAAACATGCGCATGCACGTGCGCTGCAATCTGATTGGCTTAAACTTTAAATGGCTATAACTCCCTTGTTTTTCAACCAAACAGGATGGGATTTAGAACATAGACAGACATAATAGACTCCAACAAGATGGTATGGTCGTCATGCACGTGCGTGCACGTGTTCTTCACTCTAATTGGTTGAAACAAAAATGTCAATATCTTTTCCGTTTTTTGACGAAATGCTTTGAAATTTAAAACATAAGCATACAATAGGATGTCCTACAATACGATATATAACAATTGTCATTAAATCACACGCATGCACGTGCGCTGAAATCTGATTGGCTTAAACTTTAAATGGTTATAACTCCCTTGGTTTTCAACGAAATAGGATGGTATTTAGAATATTGATTGACATAATGGACCTCTACAACAAGGTATGGTCATCATGCACATGCTTGCACGTGTGTGCACGTGAAATGAGTGAAATTAAAATATGCTTGAATAAGTGTATTTTTTAATACTTCTGGATTAAATGCTTTGATATTAAGTCTATTTGAATATATATACATAGTGTAGAAAAGATGATATGATCATTACCCACATGCATTCACATGAGCTCGCATGTCATGCTAAAATTTAAATATATTTTGTAGTCTTCTGGGAAAACGTTGTTTTAGTCTAAATTGCACAAAGTATGTCTTATTTAATAGAGCTTAAGGAAATATGGCACCAAAAGGGAGTTGGGGAGCGTTTGGGGAACATCTGTAACGGTCCCCGTTACAATTAGCCCTAGTTATGTATATATTTTTTTATCTTTAAAAAATCACTGATATTTCTATTTGTCACTTTAACTATACTGCGCAATGCGTATTGGTCTTATAAATATTGGTCCCATGTTGAAACAATTTAGTATATATTGATTATAATGAAGATTTTAATTGTACTTTCGACGTTGGTTCAGCGTTGGTTGGTTGGGAAGGAAACAACTTTCATTTTCATATTAATGTACATTAAGGTGATATGTTAATTACGCACATTAAATGTGTATCTTTCACTTATTAATCTTCTTGCAACAGGGACGCGTCACCTTTAATCAAAATATTATGATCGATGAATATATAAATTCATTTATTAACAATTTAAGGTACTCCGCTCCTTAGGTTCTGAAAATCAGATATAGTTCCGAGATTATCTCCCTTGGTGCGCTCTTTCGTTGAGGAGGGGAGTTTGGTTGCCGCGTAAACAAACAGGTGGGACAGATATTTATTATTGGATATATCGCATCATCGATATACTGGTTTATCGTAACTATATAATTGTAAGGATGCACTGTTCAACTCGAGAATAACCGAATTAAAGTAAAGGTGTCATTTTTTAAAGCAAAAAAATCGGAACAAAAAAGAAAATTCAGTGGATGTGAGACTTTTCAGACGAGGGAAGAGATATATGGACCTCTAATAAATACGGTAAACATGAATCTGATCATTACATGTCGGCAATCTAAATGACACATTGATTTTTTACCTTATTAAAACTTAAAAAAACCCACTAACTTTTTAGAGAATGTTTGTACAATCAAGAATTACTTTTATGAAGACCACGACGTTTATTTCGTTTTTAAGTACCCTATAATTGAAAGTAGATTTATAAATATACGCTGTTGAGCTTGATAAAATCATAAAATGCATCACTGATTAACATATTTATCTTTTTATAACATTAAATAAATTTTAAAAGCCATAGACATCGTTCATTTATTTATGCACGTTTGCACACATAAGCAAACTGTCCCACTTCCATGCTGAAATGGATACTTTTTGCGCCTCTATCGCAGGAGAGTTACAATCTCGAAACTGTTACTATATATAATGTTCACAAAAATGTCTCTGAATTCTGTAAAGTTAATAATATTATATAGGGAAAAGTGGCAAATCTCAAATAAATATTCAGGAAATGCAAATAAAAACACTCACTATTCATTTTCCACTTCCACTTTGATCAACAAACACATTATAGAAATTAAATTCATAAGTATTAAGGCTTTTGAAAAAAATTGCACAATGTTTATACCTATAAGATACTTTAATTTCTTTTATTTATTTGGATCATTTTACAATAGGTAATGAACAAAGATTTTCCCTATCATTCCACAATGCAAAACATCATCTATCACTTATAATTTCATATCATGTTGATCAACATTGGTATCTTTGGTAACTTTAAAATAAACCACAATTTCTTTAAATATGAAAACTGTCTAATCCGACACTTGTGCAATCTGATACCCTGTATAATCCGACATAAATTTGTCTCCCTGTGTAAGACTTTTTGAATATAATTAAAAACTAAGGAGTTTTTCTTCCTGGCTGAGGACCGGTATACCTTAAAAACGAAAAAAATTATTCCAGAACCATATTTATACAAAAATGCTTTTTTGAATGATGAACTCATTCATCATTCTTCAATAATTTTTTTTTTATTTTTATTATCCTTTGTTCATATAAACAGTATTACATATAAATATAAACAAACAGTATCCAACGGATTCTTTACACATACACCCTTCCTCACACCCTCTCTCTCTCTTTCACCCTCACAAACACACACCCTCTCTCTCTCTCTCTCTCACCCTCACAGACACACACACACACACACACCCTCTCTCTCACACTTCTACACACATTCATACATCCACCCAAGCATGTCGAATTAAAATGAGTTCCTCCAGAAAGTCCTAAATTTAGCAAGAAATATGCATTTAAGTTTTTGAAAATTTACTTAACCATGTTAAAAAGTGAAAAAAAAAATTAACGGGTTATTTAAATGTCAGGACAGGAACAGGATCTGAAATGCAACCTGATGTATAAGAAATCCTAGACAATTCAACGATTTTTTTTTTTTTTTTTTTGAAATATCACAAAGTGAATTCAATTTAACATTAGAACATGCAAAGCGTAATAATGTTGATAAAATTCAAAACTACTATGGCAAATTACGTACAGTGTATCATTAGAATTTTACAAGTCAAAGAATATATAAAATTATAGTAAATTGTCGCATCGAAGCATCTAGAAAAATGACATGTAAAAGTCAGAAATTGGAGGCTGCTTTAAAAGAATTCACTTCATCAATTGTTCACTAATCATAAAATGCATTTATAAAAAAAATTAAACAATTAACAATACTCAAAAGTCTGGTTTTTAAACAAAATTTAAAAAAAACATGTAAACTGGGTTCAAACATTTTTTTCCGTAAGTCCCATTTTTCATTAAAAAATGACAATGTAGAGTTATAAATTGACACATTATCTCTCAATATTATATTTCATTTTTAAATTATTCATTTGACCAGGAAACTTTGGCTTTTTATATTGTAAGGAGCAAGGTATTATATACTGCTAAGTGTATAACGGAAATTGCAACTACTTATAGAAGTTTTATTCTGCACAGTATAAAATATTGATTTGTATATTCTATATCTGGAATCCTGGAACATAAAGTGTTGAATTTTATGGCTCCAATTTGGCTCAGCAGGTGATTGGTCGGTTTCCTGAGAAATCTCCTGATAAGCCCCTTTCATATTTAACTCGTCATCGTCACATCTTACCACTTGCAACACTTGAACAAAGCATATACATGTCCTTTTTAAAGGACAAGAAAGAGACAATAGATTGTTTATCCATTGATTTGTATATGAAGTGTACTTATTTTATGTGTTATTGATAGAATATTATGTCTGTGAAAGTTTTATAATTCGAGCAAAGTCTATTATCTAAATTAATTATTCAAAAGTTATATTTTTCAAAATATACGTTATTTTTACTCGTAGTCTGTTGAAGTAGTTGTAACTTATAAACAGTACTATGAAAAGACATCGGTCTAAAATGGATTAAATATATTGATACATATATATATATCTCCTTATATACATGTAGCTCTGTTCTGCTCTGTTACCACCAGTTTTGATTTTTGGAAGAAATCCTTTTTTAAATGATCTTGTGAGAAATAAAGTTTAGCATGTAATCAATGTTACATCGAATTTCTTTCTTCGAGGGCATCTAATCTTCTATTTATTGTCTGAAATGTAGAATCAAAATTAGTAGAAATTGCTTGTGTTACATCTCGGACTATCCTTTCAACGATAGTGTCATTGATTTCAACATCAGATCTAGACTGATCTTCGTTCCCGAACTTGCAAAATGCATTCAGAGGAAGCCCTAAATCCAGAAGAACATGATCTATTGGGGTCACCAAGCAAGATCCATATGTAGTTACAGCAGTTACCATACCAACACATTTAAGAACTGGCGGCATGTCCTCCTCAATCATGAATACAAGGGACCCCGAGTCTCCGTTAATTGCAAACTTGTTATTGGCAGCCTCGTTCTCCTTGTCTGGTCTTTGAACTGGCAGAACTTCTATCTGGCCGTGAACTTTAAAATTTCCAAATTCAAATTCTATCTCTTTGTCATTAATGATTGCAGCATGGACGTTTATACAGTGTGCATACCCGACAGTAAGTCCACTGCTTGCACCACACTTTAAAAGTGGGCGTCTGTAATTCGTCGAATCAATTTTTATAATGGCCCCATTTGTAAAGGCTGGTCGATTGTAAGCTGAAAAACCTGAAGAAATAGATTTGAGAAATAAAAAAGGTATTACGGTGCATTTAGTTTAATACATAACCTCTCTCTATATCTCACTCTCTGTAGCATCATATGCATTTGTATTTTTTAAATTTATTTATAAGTGTACAAGAGATGTGGGAGTGGAAAAGGTGAATTAGCGTTTTCTTAAATTACCTGCACTCAATAATTGCGCATCGCTTATCTCCAGAAGGAAACTTCCATTCTCTGGATGTTGTCGGGATATTTTAACCAAGGCTGCATCAACACTAACTTCTCTTGAGTTACTGTGTTTAAAAACAGCTCTTTCTACTGTGCCTATAACATCCGAATCACTTTTATTTTCGACTTCTATCAGATTGCTGGAGATAAATCTTACGATATCTTCCGACTGTAGAGCAGCAGGTGGACAGACTACGTGTGCACAAGTCAAACATCCTATTGTTGATGAATCTATGTTCACAAAACCTCCTAAGGTTCCAAGACTGGAACCATATCGTCGTCCAATTTTGCTTCCAATCTGTAGGAAATTTTCATCAGCAGCAAAGAAGCATGCACCTTCACGTACATCAACATCAATGTTTTTTATCTTTTTAGGAAAGGCTTTTTCGCCCACTGGAATAAACCCTTTTACCCAACAGTATATAACAATACAGTCTTTTCTGTGCATTTCATGACATTTTTCAAAATTTTGTGATCGAACCCTGGAAAAGGAAACTAATGTTATATTTTTGTGCTTTCTCATTAAGTCCTGTGTGCATACATTATCTAAGGGTAAATTCATTAATTTTGAACTGTCTATGCTATTAAGCAACGTTTCGTGATGCAACACCTTCTTTGATTCATCACTAAATAGATAAAAGTCGTTATCTCTGAATACTACGTCAAATCCACAAAATCGTTTGAAAGGCGCCTTCTTTACTCCTCTAGTTACTACAACAAGAATATCTGGCCACAAAAAATTTTGCATCTCATTTTTTGCGCTTTTAGCACAGTAGACAAAGAGGATGTTGATCTTTGTTCGAAATACACGAACGAATGCACTTTGAATCTCTTCTGTAACAGCTTTAGCTATTTCTGAATCTTTCAAAAATTTGCATCGTGAAAGAAAATTTACAACCATCGGAGTTTCCTTTTCAAAAGATTTTAAAAATCCTTTAACGACTGAGGGACTTATCTTTTTCTGCCCTAGACTTTGGAGATATATCGTTGAGCGTCCCCAAAAAAGGCTATAGATGTAACAATTAACCATTACCTCAAATTTGTGTATATTATTAGATACTCTTATTCTATCTCTGTCAAACGAGCTTAAATCCTTTAATGGTACAGCCAAGTTTTCTTGGTACTTGCAACCAATACTTTCCAAACATTGTTCGAATAAATTTTCTTCTACAGCATCATGCATTAAATATGAAAAAGTTTTTTCACTCCGATGTTCCGCGTGGCGGAAAGAGTGAGATGTGTAGATTTTATACAGTCCTTCAGAAGACCCACACCGCGAAAAAATTCCAAACACCATATGTCTCGTTGATTTGTCGTTTTCAATAATAAAAAGCTTGGTTGAATGCCATACTGAGTTTTCAGTATAATATTCCATGGAATATGCTCTGACTAAAAAGGCAAAGACAGAAAATAAAATGTATCGTGTATAATGACATTCTTTCAAAATCATAACAATTTAATGAAAATGGAGAAGACAGTACAATAGTCTGGTTCAAGCAAAAAATGTATTAAGCTGTTGTCAAAATAAGTATAATATAAATAGAGTAAGAAACGTAAGCTGAAACACTACCGAATGATAGTTTAAATCTGCTGACATTTCATGAGATAAATGAAACCCCAAAAGAACATCTTAGTTGAGTTGAAATTCATAATACTTAGAGCATGCTCTTGGATACTGAATCAAATTGGAGACAGCAACATAATTGTGGTACTTTAAACTTTACTGCATATTAGGTATCCTGGCGATCGAAACACTGACATAATGACATCACACAGTGTGGTATTTTAACATCACTGCATAGGTAAGGTGGAGAGTATAAAACTCTGACGTAACAAACATTCTGATAGCATTGCATTAATTGAAATGAAGGTCTAATACCTGTGTAATTTATTGACAATGTATGTACATGCTACACATTCGAAGGAAACATGATTTAACCCCATTTACGATATAAATCATGATATGAACAGCATTAGACAAAGAACACTGCTTCCAATGTCTAATGTCTGTTAAGGAACTTTTTCCGTTCCATGTTTTAGCAACGTTTAAACAACACCTCAAACTTTTAATTTTTTAGTCATAATTAAAAAATATTATACGTGGAAGATTACGCCAGGCAAAAAGCCATACACGACAAAGAAGACCTTGACAATTTGCCAGAATTTATTACACGAATTAAATGTCAAATCTTGCGTTAAACGAGTGATGAACAATTATATAAACTATCTGTGAAAAGGAATAAAATATATTACGCGATAAATATGCACTGTTCCTAGTAAACAAAGTAGGTAACAACATTGTCTTTGTGAGACTCTTATTAGAACTGTGTATGCGAGTAACTGGGATTTAATACTGTAATATGTATTCCAGCGTTAACCCATTGATACATGTAGCTCCCTTTCCAAGGTGGAAATGCTTTAAATTCATATGGCAAATATGAATATTTTTATTATTTTCAGCACCCAAAATGAATTTAAACATTCATATCTTATATATTGGAGTCAGAACCTCAATCATAAAGACGCTGGCGGGTTTTGAGTAAAGGTTCTACTGATCCTCTTTCTTTACTGCTCACTTATGGTGTCCGAAAAGCACATGCAAAGTAAAACATCGAAATTACAGAGTAATGTAGAAAAAAATTGGACTTAAAATCAATATCAAGAAAACTGAAGTTATGTCATAAAAAAACTAAACAACCAGCATGAATACAGGTCGGTGGAAATGACCCGAGTAACACAAACAAATTTACCTATCTTGGCAGATAACATCAGATGGGGTGCGGACAAAGGTATAAAGGCCTAACTAAGTAAAGCTAGGGGAGCCTTTATCAGCCTCAAGAACATATGGAAAACAAATAACATAAGTGGGAGGACAAAAAAAAAGAATGTATAACAACTGCGTCCTGTCTGTCCTACTCTATGGGTCAAAATGCTGGAGAATGACAGAAGGAGACATATGCAGACTTTCTAGTTTACACAACAGATGATGAGGATTTTCTGGGCAAATGAAATTGCCAATGTGGAACTCCATGAAAGGGCAACGCAGAAGACATACACAAACTTTGTTGACTAAACGGAGATGGCGATGGATAGGACATGTGTTAAGGAAACCAGCCAACAAAATGATCGAAATAGCCCTTAGATGGACACCGGAAGGGGAGAGGAAACCTAGTCAGCCAAAGACCACTTGGCAAAGGACTGTTGAAAGGAAATGAGGGACCACAAACTAACTGGAGGAGAAGTGGAGATAAATGCTCAAGAAAGAGGAATGTTGAGAAGTCTAGTCCTTGCCCTATGTGTCCGCGGGCTTAACAAGGACTAGGGTCCACCGTCATAAAACTTTGAGAATTCTCAAAAAAAAATCTCAACTCAACTCTTGAGAATTACTCAACTGAAAATTTGAGAATAAAAGAGTTTATGTATTTTTATTTTTCTCAACCTTTTTATGACGGTCGCTGAGTCTGAGAAATTTGGATTTGAGAAAATTCTCAGACTTGAGAGCATTCTCAGACTTAAGCATGTTTTATAACAGCGGACCCAGGTAGGATGGTAAGGTATCCGATCCATTATAGCCTCAGATGCGATGAATCTAAATGCATAACAAATATACAGTCAATTCTCGAATTATCGCCATTCGATTCATCGCCATTTTCGCAATACCGCCATGATTTCCCAAGAACGTTTTTCCTGCTATATAAAATTCTCTTTATAACGCCAAATTCGCATACCGCCATCCGCCACCCTGTTTTCACAACAAACGTCCATTTTTAAGTGTCAATTATCTCGATATACCGCCACAGGTGCGTGTGGTCAGTGAAGCGCGGCTAATTGGCTGACACTATCCCTGTTGTAAAGTACGCAAAGCAGACAAGGTGCATGCAATTTTAAAGTAATTTAACAAGAACTAAATAAACAATAATTTTAACATGAACTGTTATAATAATTTTGTTTTCTGTTTAATAAAATAATTTAGTCTTCGCTTCGCCACGAAAGTGGGGTTGTTGTTAAAGTATGCTGATAACTATAACTATATTATTTAGATGATCTAAATATGATTTAAACAATGCAAAGTTTGCTGAAAAAATAATTATACGGTATAAATTATGAACGTTTAATTGACAATGTTGCCATAAACAAGAAATTTATTCAAGAATTAACTTTACTTATTATCGGCAATATATCACGACGATCGACCCAGCATGTTTTTTTTCAATAGAATACCTGAAGATTGAAATACACACACATGTACTTGTCTTTATTTCATAACTGCACATTTTGTTTTAAATACCGAATTTTTACATTAAAAAAATAACTTTTTTTCAATCAGGAATATGTTTTTATATACAATACATGTACATGTACATGTAATAATAAGAAAAGAACGCTAAATGGTATTTCTAAGAACGGTAACTCTACATCTTGTTTTCCAGAAGATGGGAAATTCAATTCATCGCCAAATTCGTTATACCGCCATGATTTCTAAATTACAAAAGGTGGCGGTTTATCGAGAATTAACTGTATATGATAACATGTATGTTTTAATCTCAATATGTAAGATCTGTCCTATTTTATTTAACCTTGACCAGTCTTTCAAGAGCTATCTTCCTTTCCTTTTAATCAATAATTTTATTTGAAAGTCTATCTGGTGAAAAAGTATTTCTTGTCATAATTCTAATAAATATATACAAATGTACATCTTTCCACCATAGAATTTGTTTATTAATAGTATTTAAGTTTTTATTTTTTTTTTAATTGCTTGTTCCTATAGACTTCAATACTTTCTTGATTAATTAATAACTGCTCGGATATTATATTTTTGAAAATTTCTCCTGCTAAATCATTTTCTACTCTATAATGCTTTGAAATTGTTTTAGAGTATTTAATACAGGATTGATATATAAAGTTAGAAAAGCATGTCCTTTGTGGATCTGATATCTTAAATATTAACAATATTGAAGAGGACACTTCACGAGTACTATGCTACAATACTTACTTACCTTACTATTTACTTACCTTGTCATTGGTTATTTGTAAAATTATTTTGTTATAAACAATAAGCATTTGTATTCGCAATTACTATAAACTTGATAAATTAAAAAAAAAATATTTGAGTTTTTGATCATGATTAGCAATATATTTATGGTTATTGGAGACTATATTTCCAGTAATCTGTTAGAATTCCCAGGTCACAGTTAGCCAGCAAAGTTTTGTGCATGCTGATTATCATCGGATTTTGTTAACTGCGTTTCAACAACAACAGTTAGCAGAAAAATTACCATATTGCTTATACAATATATTGATGTGTTGATTTCCATTATTTTTTGTATGAAGCTATTTATTTCATGCAAGTTCCTATACGGACATACACGTTTGACCTTTTTTCTGGGTTTCTGTACTACTGGATTAGTCCATTTGTCTTCTAGGTAAGGGGCGTTACAATCATTTCGCGCCAAATATCACTTTGTACCCTTTTCCTGGACTATTCTATTAAAATGAAAACTTCATGAATTCAATAAAGTCTATTCTTTATATCAAAATCTCGATCAGGCTTTGGAATATAAAATTTTGTGAAAGAAGTTAGAAGTTACATCATTTTAAAAGGAAATAATAACGAAACGAAAAAAAAACTTCTTGATACGAAGAACTGGCCAAATATGTGTATATATGATCATATCCCCCCTTTCCAGGTTTTCCTCCTACAAAAGCAGAAAATAGACTTAAGAAAGTGCCCCCTCACATTTCAGGATTGAGAAAGTTTATTTCTTTTTTGCTCGTACAAATATTTTGATGTGGACCCGGCCCCTCCACGAAAAAAACAAACATCTTGAATCCGCGCAGACTACAGGCCTGTAGTCTAGTTTGTTGTGTTATTCATGCATATCGGGCTTTATTTATCCCACGTTTCCAACAACCGTTGATGCTTTGGCATACCCAACAAACTAGTTAACATATTCTGAATGCCAGTCATAACCGTAACGATTCCCAATTTCTTGTTTTGTTTCTTAGTTTTTAAAAACCTTAATATCATGTTATACATGTATCATAACTATACTCATATTTATATTTCAAATGACTTGTTATCCACATGCATGTACATGTACTATACATTCCATTTTTTACGTCGATTTCTTTTACTCTGATGAGTAGCAAACAGCTTTAAATGAAAGCAAGATGTTTTGTGCACCGTCTTCATAACTTTAGTGAAATAATTTACCCCCCTCCCCTATGTAAACGTTTATAACCTATCATGCTTTTACAGTCATGGGTTCTATAGATATTGATGGCATTATTCAGGCAAGCTTTTTAAAAAGCTATTACTTGTACGTGTATTTAGATATATCGACGACGAATTGTCAATTAACAACGGTTATTTGCTTTTACTATAAAATCCCACATTTTCGTAGGGTCAAATTTTCGAGGTTAAAAAGGGGGTTTCTGGAATTTGATTTTATGGTTAGAAAATATTAAGTTTTTAGTATTGCAGATGAAAGTTAACATGTTGTCATTGGTCTCCCAATTCCTTGAAAACAACCAAAATTAAACCCCACGAAAGTTATTGATTTCACATAAATGACCACACGATGAACCCTGTTGAGCTTGAAACAAAAGATACGACATAATGTGATACATCTATTTTTCATATTTGGATAATTAACCAGAAGAAACGTTATTTGTTTACTAACAACAAAGCCTCTTGATAAAACATTATAATTTAATTTTGTTTGTATTGTAGCCTCTCATTGGTTAATTTCCAAAAAGGAACGGAAATTATTTTGCATAATCTGGTTTGGTATAGGGACACACCCCTTGACAACCAGCTGGATCATCTGTATCCGTGCAATCCCATCATTTCTCGTCCTCGGGATTCATTGAAAATTCCAGATTTAATAAATGTATCTTTAACTTCTAACAGTAGCTCTATCTTACCACATGTAAACAAACATCATGGATGCTAGCTCTATGTATCAGATATAACTTCCACTCGCTTTCCATCACTTCCGTTAATACGGTAGCATTATTGAGAGGTAAATTTGAACTCATAAAAAGCAATGTGATTTTACATCCACATTTGTTAAAATTATTTTAAAATAAAATTATAAGAAATGACTCTAATTCATGGCCTTATTCGAGTATAAACTGGTTTGGATCGGTTAACGCTTTTTTTTTGTAATAATCCGCTTTGCGGATTTTAAAGCGTAAACTGACCCAAACCAGGTTATATCGAACAGTTTGGCCAACAATTACAGACATTCCTTAAATTACTCTGTAATGAATCATATCGAACCCAAAATTGACAAATAAATTGATGAAACAAGAACATAGACAGTTTCGTTAAAGTGATCGTGTCTTAAGTTGAACTGTGGTTTCCCCAGTGGCATCTGATCCAACCTGTACTTTGATTTTTTATTTTGAAATTCGTGATTATTGTACTCCTGATCATGATTTGTATTGTTTAAATGGATTTTTAGCTTGAATAATCTCCTTTTTTCTATACTTTTTAACTAATTGTGGAATATATTGATATGGCAAAACAAACATTTTTTTTCTCGTAGAAGGTGCGGAAGATCATTGGAATTAACATTATTATTCTTCAGAATTATACAGTCAATCTAATTATGTCGCGTGATGTGTGATAATTCGTAATGTTTCCCTCACGTGCAAGGTGACAAATGTTGTCATCCTTCAGATGACAATGAAATAGCTTAAGCTAGCATGCAGTAACATGTACAACTCTGTTGTCACCCTTTGAATAAAATTAAAGTTGTTGCATACATAGTGGTTACATACATATAGATATATAAAAACTTAAATGCCAACATAATTTTGTTTAACTTATGTTCAATCATTTTAGATTATGAAAATTCATTACAAGCATTCTAAACTTAGTTTAATTCGCTTATGCCTTACATTGGATGTTGTTATTTTTACCTTTTATTCCAGTCCTTGCAATGGCTTCAAGATCTGAAGCGGAATGTCCAGGATATTTCCACAAAGAAAGAATATTTTGTGACCATGAGAGATCGTGTGCCCTCTCGTGGGTTTTCATGAAAGCTGACTTTATAAGAGACATTATTGCACCTTCCAGCGATATGCCGCATGGCCAGAGTTTATCTCTCACTATAATTTTGTAGAGTATTGAGTCATATCGTTTAGATTTATATTGAAGTTATTATATGTTCGATTTTTCCAATCTATCAAAAGCTACAAATATATCTACAATCAATAGAAACGCAACACCCTAATTTTTAGGTGAAAATTATATACGGGTTATATAGCTATGTACCAAAATAGTTAGGACATCTTTGATTTTGCCAAATCAATTATTTAACGGTTGAATGATTTTCATTCCATTACCGAAAGTTGATTTTAGCCCTCTTAAATAGATAACTTTTTAAAAACCTCTTTCCGACCATTTAGTTTTAAAAAACGTGCTTTTCCGCCATGTACAACATACGCAGCCCGATTTCGACCATGCATTAAGTTTATCAATGTCTTTATCTGTGCAAAATGAATATTCTTGGGCATTTTTTCAGATACTAAGGTCGAATTTTCTCTAATTTTGCGTAGTGTGGTAACCCTTAGACTTCCGGTCAAGGAACTGTCATTCATGCTTTTGAAACACATGAGCCCAATAAGTCGTTATGTAGTGTTTATTTGCATCTATAGCTCTCTTTATCCTTTATTTTGATAATTTTCAGCATTAACAATGAAAATGCGTGCTTACAGTCATTTTGAGGAAATACAGGCATCACATTCGGAAAAGAAAAAAGGAGATTTTTTGCCGAAATTTTAGTACAATACTATTATTAACAGGTACAAAACCGTAAAAACCCAAAATATTGTCAATAATTTTGTTAAAAATACTAATTTCTTTTCTGTTATGAGGGCTAAAAATCAACTTCCGGTTATGGTTTGAAAATCATTTAACTATTAAATACATGTAATAACTGATTTGGCAAAGTTAAAGATGTCCTAACTATTCTGGTACATAGTTATATCCCGTATATTATTTTAACCCTAAAATTAGGGTATTGCGTTTCAATTGATTGTGGGTATATAAACGTCATAAAAATGATCTCTAAAAATCTCACCTTTAACTTCCCTCTCTCTCAAATTGCCCTTTATGATGATCTCAACGAGTTTTTGCAAAGGTGTTGAAGCATCTAAATCCATACTATTTGGTTAAGGAGTTTGATCCTTATGAGAAAATATATGGGAAAAATATTTTCGTACAAATGTTAAAAAAATGGCTCAAAGATTCGAAGTATTCTAATAAGAACTCTCATTTAAAATACAGTGAAAACACTTTGTTATTGGGTTTGAAAACAACTAAATTGATCATATGAGACCTACATGCATAGATGACATACAGCGAAACAAATAGATTGTGATACCGTTATTGTGCCTCTGTGGTAACGCACTTTGAAAAAATTTCGCACTTTGAAAGTTTTCTTCAAAGTGCGTTAAAATTGGGACAAAATAAAGGCAGTTTGAATTTTTTTTACAAATTGCGTTAAATTTGGGACACAAGAAGTACTTTAAGAAGAAAATTAAGGTGCGTCAAGAATGTACATCAACATTTTAATAATGTGTCTCTCAGACCAATCCTTTTTTTTACTCAAATAGCAAGTTTTAAGTGGAACACCCCCTAGGTAAGGCCCAGTTTTTAATTTCTATATTATGTATATCCTTTCAAAACATTTGTGTGACTAGCACCCCCCCCCCCCATACTGATGCTTATGCCACACCCAAATATATTTGCATAACTGGTGTGACGTTGAAAACTTTCAATAAATTTTAATTTGCATTAGATGCATGCAAACAAGAAAAAAAATTAGTACAGTAAAATATTTAAGAGAGAAAGAATTTTCAAAGTATGGAAAAATCAAAATCGCTCTCTTTCTCGTCCAGAAATGATCTTATCACCGAAAAGTTATCCAAACAGGTTCAATTATTTATCATACCTAAGATTTTCAAGAATATTGATCAAGCCATACATATTTTTTTTCAAAGTGCGTTAATATGGTCGATATCAAAGCACTTTGAAAAGAAATTTTGTTTTTTCAAAGTGCGTTGATTTGGTCCCTAAATTTAACGCACTTTGAATACCGTATAGCCGGTTTTTTTGGCGGGACACAAATTTGGCGATTTTAGGTTGTTAAGATATTTCATTAATTTTGGTGGATAATATTTTGGTGAATTCAAATTTATTACCATTAAGTCGCAGATTAAGAATGCGCTCTTGTTACGATTGCACACCCTCCCAAACTTGCCAAAGTGTCGGGAAATCCTCGGAAATACGCAGATACTATTGTTAAATCACACCCCAAATATGGAAATTCAGATGTAGCTCTTATTTGAACTGCACAAATAATGTAAAGAACATTTTTAAAGAAGTAAAATATTTGTATTAAATTGAAATCGAAAGTAGGACACGAACTTATTTTTTCCGTAGCTAAATCCATTTATATATACATTTTGCTGACAATGCATTCCAAGCGCTGTCTGTGTTTATGTAAACAAACCATCCCAAGCGCAATTACTTTCACACATAGGTATTAATTGATACCAGTTTTTTAATTATAACAAGTACATGTAGTTTAAAACATTAATTGTTGAAAAAACTTCATTGGTCATGAGTGTGCTGTTTTAAATGACAGATGAATTGAACCCATTGTTTAGCAAGCATGACACCTTTATAACTTGAGGGTCGATTGGAGTAAAAGTTTTGGCAGTGATGAAATCCAAATTAAAAAAGATAAACTTATAGAACTAAATATTTTTGTTTAATCAAAATAATGTCAGTATGGATAATTATATCTTTAATTATAACTATTTGTTACCGGTGATTTGCCGTAACCATTCAAAAATGGGGAATTTACAAACGCAAGGTGTGTAGGCTACAAATTTAGCGGTTTTTATTTTGGTGAATTTTTATAAATCGCCAAAATAGGCCAAAATTATATCCCCGCCAAAATAACCGGCCCGGTTCCCATTTCTCGCAGCTGCCCTAGTTCTTTTTACAGAAGTGGATAAAAATGGACATATTTTTTGTTACATCTAAAGAGAATACTATTATACGTTGGAAATATTTTGAAAGCCGATAAATCAAAACGGGTTATTTTATGATAAATTGAGTATATATTAACATGAATTTTTTAAGTACGGAGCAAACTTTCTCACTGTATTGATGATTAAAATGTATTAAGAAGATGCAGTCATTTCTTGCAATAATAATATGTCTTCTTTTCAATTCAATACATGTAGAAATATTTTCTTGGCAAATGTATCATATCACTAGTTAGTGTTGTAGCTTATGTGTTTCACACCACCTGTTATAGCTTTTTTAAAACTAAATTTGACTCTGGGATATTACGTCTACTCGAGAACATGATCAAGGTCTAGGGTAAGATCTCCCCCTCTTTATTCATCATAGTAGGATTCCCCCTCGTTAAGGAGTCATAAACCACAGTCACAATATGCGTAGGGAAAATGTTAAACGACAATCTGTTTTTAAAAGGTAGATGAGTGGGTTTTTTCCGACTTAACCATGTAAGATTTTTCTTAACGTTAATTGAAAGCAGGAAAATTTCATTCATTTTAAAAACTTTTTAAGAAGCATATTGAACTCTAAAGTTGCATTTTTTAACATATTGCCAAATTATTTGGCTTGGATAAACATAAAGTTGTTTCACTAAAGATAAATATCATTTCTAAATTGAGAGAAACATCTAATTTAGCAAAAACATCTTACTTGTGAAAGAAAAAGGTTTGTTTGTGTTATTTGTCCATAAGGGTTTTCATATTTGTCATGTTATAATTACACTGTACAATACATTTATAGAATTCTGGGTGTATTGCATTTGCAAAAATTGTCCCAAACCGGCAGGTGTTATCTTGCTAAAAAGTGGAAATAACATTATTCCGTAAAAATTCATTTAACTGGAAATTGAAATATAAGTCAATCTCCAAACGTTTAGAGAAA